TCAGCTGATAAAATAATGCCCCGTTTCACTCTTATCTCGTAGAATCCGGAGACATGAAATGACAAGTGAAAATAGTCGAGTTGCGATTAAAAAGATAAGCGAGTGCCGCGACGCATCGAACGAATGATTCAGATCAAGCACTTCTGATGTTTCCAAATTAACTAACAACTAATAACGAGGCTTGTCATAAAATCAAGATAAAGATAAATCAGAAGCCTTAATCTACTTTTATCTGGCATACTTCTGTGCCTAGCATGCGTGACCAAATAATTTTCTATGGTAAATGTCTAAATGAACAAATTTCAACGTCTAGCTTTTCAGAACAGATAAATCCGAAAAGAATTTTGGAAGAAAATTTGAATATATTTTAGACCTTTATCGGAATTTAGCATTCACAATGAAGTGATTGCAATTCGATATCAACTGGGCTTGGAAACTCAACAATTTGTACGGGATATAGAAATTTTAGAAGCATTTGAACTAAAAACGTGAAAACGATGAGCAAGACGAGTATCACTTCAACCTACTGATATTTTTTAAGAGATCAACTCTATTGCGGTCATTGCCAGCGTAAGACAGACCGAAGACAGGTTACAGAGTGTAGGGAGTTCCCGAGATGTAATTAGCTCATCGTTCCAAGAAGACTACGGCCGCAGCGCATACGTTTCAGTCTTCCATTTCCGAAGCAGGGCTACACGTGAAATTCCAGGCATTACTTACAGACATTCCTGGCAGATGGAGTGAGGCTGGCATGCTCTTCTTTACGAAGAAAACTTCATTAATTTCAGGGGAAAGCTGCTGTGCTCTTGATGAACGCAATATGACAAAACTGCATCAAGACTAGAAAAATACTCACGAATTATGTTTGAAATTTGCAAGCGGTAATTGTTAAGTTTTGTATCTTTAACAATTTTTTGGTTAATAATGTGACAGACGTGAAAAAACTAAAATTTTAATTTTGATCAATACAGTTTAAAACAAAGGCTATAACCGATATAAAAATATTCGCATTTGCACTGTCTCATGTATATAATGAAGCATGCCAGCGAACTGGAATAACTTTAAGATTCTTTAACCCGAGATGAGACGATGAAGGAAGAACAGAGCGAACGCAGGCTTACGCTTACTTTCTTGGGAACGAGGAGAAGCACGGCACCTATACGCTACATTATTGCACATGGCAACACGTTTTCGATTTGTACGTATTATATGGCATTTATTATGCGTATCATGTACTAAGGACGTGCAATGTACGTGTGCATGACTATCAGTCTATCATAAAAGTATGATGTTTTTTATCTGATGCATCGATTCTCGCCATCGTGATTGAATTGAGCAGCTTGTATGCTTTGGAAACGAACTAATAAAAAACGGGTGAACGAGAGTATATTCAATAAAATATTTCAGAGTGGAAAAATATTGTAGGATAGTTATTTTAATGGCAGATGAAAATCTTGACACGACTCCAACTGGAATAACGGCAATAGAAAAATAATGGCAACATACGTGCTGGTGTGATAGTTGCAGGCAGAGAAAAAAAAAACAATAAAAAACAGGTATGAGGAGTCGGGTCTAGTTTTACTATTCCCCAAGCTACAGTCACTAGAACGTCAGTGCACTGCATATAAGGAAACAAAATAACTAAGTCGGTAATCGAAAATCTCGTTCGAGTGACTCGGTGGAAGTGTAATAACACGGCCAGGTAGCACGAAAATTCATCACAAGAGATGTGAGTGTACGAAGCAAGCCAATCAAAAGCAATAACAATTGTGATGAAATAACTTATAAATTAGACTTAAATCGATATTTTTTTCGGGTTGCATCATCTTCGAGCAGAGGGATTGAACATCGAAATAATAATTATCTATCTCTCATTGATGTGCTACATAACAAAATACATTCATTCGTAAGAAATTATATTTCTACCCAACTGAATAAGATGGGACCTGAAAATTGTCGTTATTATGATGTTGCAACGCAGAGAGTCGGCCTTTTTTGTGCGATGGCAAACCTAACCTCATAAAGATTGCCTTAGCGTGTGTGAAAATTTCGTTTTTTATGCATTTCTCCAAAAAAAATCAAATTGCCCGTCGAAAGTATTACAAATGTAAGTCCAACGTAGCACGAAGCCATGAGTCGAGCACTTCTTCGTCTAGGACGTAGTTGGCAAGTGGGTGAATTACGCTATGTAAGTTGGGTCTTACTTTTTTTTCAAGACAAAGAATTTTTGCTTTAAAATGTCATATATCAACAATTTGAACAGTCGTATTGTTAACAATTAAGCTAGTAAGTGTCCACATACACATAGCCTAATTGCACCATGCATGCAGCGAAATAAAATTATGCACCTATTTATATACCTTGAAACTCATCATGATGAGTCTCATGGCAGGAACGCAACTTCTCTCATCGAAAAGAAGTGTGACTAAATTCAGACAAGTAACGTGGAAATGAACGAAATTTGTTGTAAGGGTGGAGAGAGGAGGAGTAAAATATTTTCACTAAAGACTATTTACAGGAACTTGCACCATGAAATGATAATGTAACGAAAACGAGGTCGAAGAAATGAAGCCACCGAGGTCAGTTTATGAATTTGTTAACGGCGGCCTTCGGAGCGCGCGCAAGACGGCACAAGTCGAACATGTATAAAGCGACAGCAAGCCGCGCGAAATGGACTCATTTGCACTAGCTTTACCATAATGACCGCGTTAAGAACACGAGTCTTGAAAGAAGACGCGGTTTGCTTAGCTTTTAAACGTTGCAATGCGCGTTTAATGTGTTGCCCATGCAACTGAACTTTCATCGGAAACTGATGGAGGTATAATCAACGAATGAACAAATAAACGGGCTGAGTAAATGACCGTATTAAAATAGCCTGCTCATAAATAGTAAAGAACAAATCTTGTCAATGGATGAATGATTATGACATCATGACAAACCTTCATGATGTCATGAAACCTTTATGATGTCATGAAACCTTTATGATGTCATGCAACCTTCATGACAATGTCATTATGACATCATGAAAAATCTTGATGGGTGTACCGTACTATGTATAATGAAGTTTTTTTTTGCGACAATTACACTTGCTGCATTTAAAAGGGAACACTGTCAACTTGTAAGAAACGCTATGCAATACTGCCAATACATCCCGAAGAATTTATTCAAGAAGCCAACTGTAAAATTTACACAGCTTGGGTTGAAAATTATTAAATCAAAAATATTTTTGGTGATTAACAATTTGAACAGTCCAATTAGGGCTACGTAAGATATAAAATCTAGTCAAAGCTGCGAAAAGATTAACATGCCGTGAAGAGAAATTAATGAATGAAATTCTAAAAAATGCCTCTGACAACATGGCAGTTCCATCATCGAAGATCGTCTTGTTAGAACAATGAAAAGACTCCTGATACCGAGACCGTGCAGCTGGAGGCACGATGTCTCGTTACCAAAGGGTTGCGACTCTTGTTGAACTTCTTCAATGGCTCGGCTGATGAACGACCCACTGAAATTGACAGCGCAGGAAGCTATCGGCTGCTTCTTGCCGATACGCGCGACCAGATTGACAGTTTGAAGAGCAGCAAGAATTAAAATGTTTACCGCGCGCAATATTATAGATAGACAAGGTCGTAGATAAAGACGACCAAATTTGAACAACCTCGAAGTGGCAAGCGATATTTATTAAATGTTCACTAAATGAAATAAATAATTCAGTTATCTGTTATAATTCAGTTATTCAGTTATAAATAATTCAGTTATTCAAATAATTCAGTTGTTGCAAACTCGTGCAAGAATATGAACTACAACTGAACCGACGAAGTAATGCCATAAACAAGTAATGACATATTACCCTAATTCAAAATAAGCCAACATTTTTTACGGTAACTTCTAATAACACCAATGAAATTTTTTTTAGGACATTGGCTTATCTATTCTTCATTGCAAGGAAGTAAAGGACCCATTTAAATTATTCCACGATTTGTATCTGAATTGTAAACTTATGTCACACGCTAAATTTGGGGGGTAATAGTCACTCATTAACTAGATCCTCATGCTTGTGTATAATTACTTTCAAATTTAGTTTAAATGCGGAATAGCTTATACTCTTAATAGACGTGCATGTCAATATTTTATAATCTACTACCGTAGCTCGCAACTGTACTTCAGATTGTCACTACAGTACTGCGTTCACGGAAAACGAAAGGATATTCTTGCCCCAACTGATCTGTATTTTGACACTTGAAAACCAAAACCTATCATCTGGTCATAAGGTAATCTAATTACAGCTTCGTGTTCTCTTGACATTGGCATTTTAGCAATAGGCCTGCACACGGTCTCAAAATGTATCGCAATTGAAGATTATTGTCTGTGGTGCGATGAAATGTGTTAATTACTTTCAAATTTAGTTTAAATGCAGAATAGCTTATACTCTTAATAGACGTGTCAATATTTTATAATCTACTACAGGAGCTCGCAACTGTACTTCAGATAGTCACTACAGTACTGCGTTCATGGAAAGCGAAAGGATATTCTTGCCCCAACTGATCTGTATTTTGACACTTGAAAACCAAAACCTATCATCTGGTCATAAGGTAATCTAATTGCAGCTTCGTGTTTTCTTGACATTTTAGCAATAGGCCTTCACACGGTCTCAAAATGTATCGCAATTGAAGATTATTGTCTGTGGTGCGATGAAATGTGTCTTGAGTGTGGGTGCAGCACGCATAGTAACATTAAGCATCACAATAATGAAGTAATTAACACAACTGAAGGCTCGGCCACCGAGACTGACCTGATCCTCGATGGAGCGCTTGTGATACGCTCGTAATAACATTGATCATCACAACAGAGTAACACAACTGAAGGCTCAGCCGCCTAGACTGACCTGGTCCTCGATGGTTAGGTTAGGTTAGGTAAGGTGCTTGTGATGCCCACGGAGTAAGTAGCATTGATCATCACAACAGAGAAACACAACTGAAGGCTCGGCCACCAAAACTGACCTGGTCCTCGATGGAGTGAGGGTGGAGTGAGTTGGCCAGCAGGAGATCCTCGTGTCGGGTCCCCATGAGCACGGCCCCGGCGCGGTCCACGGTGCCATAGTTGCGGTCGTACAGACCGACCTGGCCCGTCTGTCCCAGGGCACAAGTTCAAATATTTAAATGCCAAGCTCATTATTAACGCGTTCAAACGTAGTATTATTTGAACATGAACTTTCAAAGAAATTGAAACATGCAGAAATTACACGTAAAATGTTTCAGTTTACCCGACAGTATAAACCTATGTTCTTATTTAAATATTAGAGTTAACTGTTCATTATACAATGTGCAAAATGAAAATATCGAAAATAATGCTTTGACTTACATGAAGTGGGGGCAACTTTTCATTTTCATTCCATCAAGAACATTGAAAATCTTCTTGTGTCCTTGACAATGTTCTTCAAGAACATTGACAATGTTCTTGTGTTCTTGACAATTTTCTTGTTCTTTCTCTTACCAATACTCAATAAGGATGAAAACAGACACTCGTTCTTGACTACCAATACTATTCAAAGATAACAACACACACCACTTCTTGACCAATACTCTTTAAAGATAACAACACAGTATGTACACCACTTCTTGACTACCAATAAATTAAAGATAACAACACAGTATGTACACCACTTCTTGACTACCAATAAATTAAAGATAACAACACAGGATGTACACCACTTCTTGACCAATACTCTCTAAGGATAACAGCACAGTATACAGAAGCAACAGTGCCGCTACTCACAGCAGTGCTGACGACATGCAGCGAGTCGTCGCGTCTCTGGACGTCGTGTCTGTTCTGTAGCGCCGTGGCGGTGTACGTCGTGTAGTTGGCGGGCAGCGAGTGTAGCTGGTAAGGGTCCGCACTCGGATGATGATTTTGCTGAAAACATAATTCCAATATCTTATTGTGCTGGCTCAATTATAACGGTGTTTTTTTTTGAAAGAATGCGAGTGAATGTTGATTGAAAATCTTGCGGCAATATGTTTGCGATAGCAAATATCTAATTGAGTTTTAATATATAAATAAATCTTTTCGTTTGCGGAGAAGGTTTGAAAATGTCGAAAAAATTAGGCACTTAACTTCTTGTGCATCGAGAAATTCATGATTCACTTGCTTAGTTATGCAATCTAGTTGAGGAATTGTCAAACTCAAGTAATTGTCAAACCATTCAATGAACACAAATTTATAAATTTTCAATTAAATCTAAATGAGAGGAGACTATTGATTGCTGCCATTCACTAGAACGAGTAAAACCCCATGTTATTCTTTTAAAAACAAAGATTCTCCAAGAAAACTTGGTTATCAAATATATGTGCTGCTAAAACCAACATAAAGGAGTACTCGAGACGCACTCAAATGGTTATTTGGAGCAGAAAGCCTCGGCGCAAGAATCTGCATAATTCTGACTGACGAGATGAACTTAAGGTGTAAGCGGTATTTCCTGAGCGTGACCCGGCGTAGTAGAATTAAGATAGTTAAATCCTGTTCTCAACATCCGTGGACTTTTCAGGTGACACAAACACAATCCTGAACCTTTAAATGGTTGGAGGGCCAGCACTGCACGGCAATCACTAGCGGGACAAACTAATATTTCATCATGGCAGATCGAGACTAAAATACGGAGCTTAAATTTGCATGTCCCTTGGATTCGACAATGAACAATACAAGTAATTTTTAGATCCGATATACATACATACACAAGTTTTTAGTCCTAGTATTGCAGGTCTCGAATAGCAGTCTATTGAATCTGATCAATGAATTTAATTGATGCATTGAGTTTCAATTAGATTGAACTCACATTTAAGCGAAAAACATCTCTAGTGATTTATTATCAAATTTTAACTAGTCAACAAACTGTGTTGAATTTTATATTATTTATTTACTTATTTAATATCTATATTGTGTGCATGGACTATAATTAAAAACTCAAATCAGTAACGCTACATTACTCAATAAATAAAAATTCAGTAAAATAAAAAAAAATAAGTCATGGCTACTCCTCAATGAATAAAAATTCTATAAAATAAAAAAAAATAAGTCATTGCTACTCACGGGCATCTGATTTTCAGTGGCGAGGTAGGGGGGTGGGAAGTAGGGGGGCTGGAAGTCTGAAGTGGGGGTGTGGATGCGGGGGGCGGAGGCGAAGGTGGAGACAGCAGTGCCCCCCACCCCCCCTATGCTGGTGATGGGGCCCAGGGAGTGTTGGTGGCCCCCCACCCGCTCCTAAACATTATACAGTGATAGAGTTAACAATGATGACTGGATACATCATCAATTAATTATACATCAATGTTATAGCATCAATTAATTATACATCAATGATATACCATCAATTAATTAAACATCATTGATAGACCATCAATTAATTAAACATCATTGATATACCATCAATTAATTAAACATCATTGATAGACCATTAATTGATTATACATCAATGATACACCATTAATTAATTATACATCATTGATAGCCCATCAATTAATTATACATCAATGATAGACCATCAATTAATTATACATCAATGATAGACCATCAATTAATTATACATCAATGATAGACCATCAATTAATTATACATCAATGATACACCATCTATTAATTTGCATCATAATTAAACCTCTATACAAAATTCAAGTTCCAACTACTTCGAAATTCTAATATATTCAAATTAGGAACTACATCTGATTTGCATAAATGCATATGTATTTATTTCACACTAATGTATATACACTGCATGAACGCTGCTCGGCTCCTGCAAGGACGTTCAGTTCAGCCGTCATATCTGAGACCACTAATTTGAATCTGAGAGCACGAATCATGTAATTATTTAATTATCAATTGACGAGCAATGCATTGAAGAATATTCAGGGTTATATCCGGGTTGTTACCCGTGATAACCATACAGTGGATAAACAATTAAAAAATTAAAAGAGATTCACTCCAAAGTAATAATTTAAGTAAGACACCGGGCAAATCTGGAGCACTTGTCATGCAAGCTGCCACCCAATTTGTAAAATTTCTTCCGATGGTTTTACGTTATTAACGAAAATAAAATTTTGTTTTACGACTTCGACAGATAGGATTGACTTACAAGCTGGCTCAAGGACGTGTAATCCTGGAATTATTCATGTGCCAGGCTTCTGAAGGATTGTCGGCATGCCTGCAAAACTTGTTGTCGGGAACATGAATCTCAGGCACGCATTTAAATGAATCGGCCGACTGAGAGCGGCTGTTACGAGAGACATGCCAAGCGGTGTTATTCACCAGGGCCTATACTTTCAAAAAAAGTTAAGAAATCGCAAGTTCATCAGCCAATCATTGACGGCCTTTTAAGCAAAATCCACCAATTAAAGACAGGAAAATAGAGCGTAAGTACTTACGTTCACTTAGCGAGTTTTGAAAGTATGGCACCAGACCCGACGACTGCGGCCGACAATCAACAACGGCAATTTTTAACGTTACGTTTATGTCAAGAAAAAAAAATCAGATAAAAAATTGTTTCCTTCCGCATTGCGAGTTCCGAGCGCCGGAATCAGAGAGTGATCAATCGCAGTAAATCTAATGCTAATGCGTCGTTGAAAGTTCGGTAGCCCGAAGAACGATTATTCATGAAAACTTATAGAGCATATTGATTACGCTGCACATCACAAAATGAAGATGAAAGAAACATGAATAAGCGGACTCAGAATGGATTCGTTGGTGCCTACACTAAACTAATCATAGGAAGGGAAGGATTAAACACGAAAGCCATTATTGTCTCTCATTATTGCTCCAGTGTTGACTGGTTAAATAATTATCCAAGATGTAAGCGAGCAAACACAAAAACTGAAGGTAAGGTAGGTAATCTTATACATGAAGTTACATTGAAAATTCACTAGCTATATATAGGGCATAAAGAATAACGATTTTTGAGTTCCCGCTACTGAAATTTTTCACATAAATCTAAAAGACATTGAATTTTAATTAAATGCAAAATTTCACAAAAAAGATACGGAGGTTGGTGATAAATTGAATCTACTTTTAAATAGGAATGAAACACTCCAGACATCTTCATTTGTTGATTAATATGTTCAAAAAACTAATGGAAACCACTTCGATTTGATTGCCTGATCCGCTTCAGTCATCTAAATATGACGTTAAGCTCGCAAAGCCATTAAAAATTAAGAATAAATTTCTATTTAAAAATCAATTCTCAATTACAAATGGAAGCCGTAATCAAACGACTTTAAACTTGTATTATATATATGGGATACATTCCTTATATTTCACTGTGAATTGAATTTTCTTGTTAAAGCAATGCATCAGCTCAGCAATCTACACATACAATTGACATGGTACATCAAAAATGATTGCCATGCAAAATTAGCGGTATAGAGAATTTTTAAGACCCTTCATTACTCACTATTTATCGTCTTGCATATTATGCTGAGACGCATTTTTATGAAGAGTTCGCGTCAACCTTGACCTCAGAGCTACAGGTTAACTATACAACATTAAACCCTATGCAGCCGTGCGAGCAAGGCGAGACAAATCTAATATTTTATTATTAAATCAAACTATCATGAAGAGCGCTTGAAAATTAATCTTTATGAACGACATTAACATATTTTATTCGAATTTGGAATTGAAAGGATTAATTCATATTGATTTCATTTTAGAATTGTGAAACATCAATATTGGAAAAATTCAAGTCCCTGGTGAAACAGCAAAAAATGCCATGTTATTTTAATGTAACTAGCTGTATATTTTACAGCAAGCCACTATTGTAGTAGTCACTCGGAAAAAGAAATCTCATAACGGTACACGGCGCTTTGAATACAGACAGATAACCCTAATCATCTCAAGCAGTTTAACTTTCATCATATCTCAACAAGCGTCGTCAAATCCCGAAGAACAGCTCGCATTCGCCGCAAATTGAACCTAATTAACTGGATTTGCTTCATCTAGGCACTGTGAGGCCTCAACAATCTACAAAAAGAGTCCACATCCTGTAGCTTTAGTGCAATTAAGGGTCATCCGTTGATAAGCTTATTGAGTTCCATCAATGCCCCGAACACGAAATCTGGTCCAAACGTCTGGCCGGAGACAGCCGTCTTCAGGCTGTCTCCGTGATGCCGGCCTCTGAGATCCGTTCTCAAAAAGTAGATGACGTGCAGCTGAATAAAGCCTAGAGTTATACAGCTTACGGTATCTCCCAACTAAAGTAATCGACTGAAAATTGGATCACTTTTTGACGTATTGGCCTGCTGTAAATGAAGGGACTTACGATGATTGTATGAGTACTAAATGAAATAAATAGTCCTAAATAGTCTAAGATTAAAATGAGAACAAATAATTCGATGAAAATGAAAAAATACACAAAAAACTGATCAAAAAACAAACGATTTGAAGCCAAGTGCAGCCGTGAAGCTTTTTACGTATTAATTCTAGCTGTGAGGAAGATATGTCATTTCGCGTTATTTCATGAACCACGAGTCTCACTAGAACCTTAAAATATCATATTACGATGAAAATTGTTCTGTATGATGAAAATAATAACATGAATAGTTATGGCTGATTATTGGGAACAGTTGAAATTTAAGGCTTATTATGATTAGCATGATGGCCCATGAATAAACATAATACAATCAGGCTGGGAGTTCAAATAGAAATCTATAGCAGTTTTCTGAGATCATTGTTGAGGAATTATGTTACGTTAAATGGATTATCTAGCATTATGCTGATAATAAAATTTTTTACATGTATTTTCATGATGAAATTTTAAGTAAACGTCAAGGCTGAAAGTACTGAATTAATTTTCTGCTCATAGTCACACAGCGTGATGCCTTAATAATAGCTGAAAATTTACTTAATTTCTGTTTCAACGGAAGTTTAAATTCATGCTTCTCGAGGTTACGTTCACTTCTATGGCCCAATTTACGGAGGACATAATTAAGGTAATGCTTGCTTCAGCATGGAATCATTTCCTAAACAGTTTAACAGACAAAAAGCAAGGAAAACTAGTGTATCTCTGTACAAGTTACTCAAGTATCCAAAGTACTTTGACATTGATTCATTAATATGCGAGCATCCAAATGCCAATGTGCAAATCCTGCACTACTATATGGAAACATAAAATAAATGATTGGCATATAATAAATAAATTACAACATCGTAGAATTGATCACCTATAGAACATCAAAATATTTTTGATCTTCAGTGAGCACGGTCTTTAAGTGATACTCCATCAGTAACAAATTAAAAGGAGAAATAATGAAGTTATTCCAATGTTAATCAAGAATACGCAATCTAGCTATTACCTACCCTAAAATCCTGTTACTTGGCATTAATTCAAGGTTTCTCCCTATTAAGCTGATATTGCATGAATTCGTACCCAACAGCTGGATTTGTTGATAAAATTGTTCGTACACCATAAGTCGTCGCAGGCATCGATCCCGTCGAGCGAGATGACAAGTTCAGGCGATGTGGTTGTCCTTGATTTTTTGTGCACATAATGTTTAGATTCACAGCTGATTTTATTACAAGTGCCCTACTTACGAAGCTACAATTCAACAAGTATGGTATAGGTTTAGCTGAACAAAAAGTTTCACACTCAGTCAGCTCGATGGTACTGAAGTATATCAGAATGATCGGTAATTAATGAGCGTCTTGGGCGGCGTTCGTCTCCCATACGTAAGCTATATGTTTAAAATTCATTTTTTGTCACGTCACAAAGTGGGATATCTCGGAAAAATTAATTATACAATATTCATATTAGGATCACACTTGTAACGAAAATATGAAAACTAAATGCGCCCATAAGATGTTTATAGTAAATCAATCAACCTTGAAGCGTTAATCACTCATAAAATTTAACTCTACGCAACCAATTTCATCAATGTTACGTAGGCCATCTAGTGGCTTAATAAAAAAAATGGCGAGCAAAAACAGCGAGCCGTCCAACCTTATTCCCATAAAATTCTCTTACTGCCCGAAATTTCAAGAAGATGTGAGGCTCTGAGATGTAATCATCGGACTGGTTTGTCTATGAGAGCTCTACCATAAACTGAAATGGGTAGAGTAGCAAAAACGCTAAGCATATAAACTCCAATCTGACTGGGCTTCACCGGAAGCCTTTGATGAAAATTACAGTCGTTTTTAAGGTAGAAAATTGAATACAGTTCAACAGATATATAATCATCATTGACATAGGTATTGACATCATCTTTTTTGGAAGAGTGAAAG